TCTTTCTTTCTTTCTTTCTTTCTTTCTTTCTTTCTTTCTTTCTTTCTCTTTCTTTCTTTCTTTCTTTCTTTCTTTCTTTCTTTCTTTCTTTCTTTCATTCTCTTTCTTTCTTTCTTTCTTTCTCTCTCTCTCTCTCCGGCTTCTGAATTTGTCTTCTCAGCCCGCCGGCCTCTCTCAGCGTCTCTTCCAACGGGGCACTGCGTCTTCTACTACAGCACAAACTCGCGGTTTCTACCTCCACCCCCAACGGCAAAAGGTATTTTTTTTAAGAGGCACGGCGTCCCCGAGGGGGGAGCAGGGCAGGAGTCTCTCTTAATTTACAATGGAGAAACTTTTTATTTACAAAACCAGGTATCTCAACAATAAAAATGCGGCTCCGATCGACTTTGGTCGTCCGCTTAGTGCATAAACGCCACTTCGGGGATCTTCTGCTCAGCCTGGGAGAAGCAGGGGAAAAAAAGGGAAGGAGGGGAGTCAGAAATTGCGGCTTTTGTGGATGTCTGAGTTGTTGGCAAACATCCCCGAGGTGTCTTTTGCGGGATGCCTTGGACTATGGGACAGGCAGTCCTCGACTTAACAATTCTTTCATTCCCCGTTCAAAGTTCACGGACTTCGGGCCAGATTTTCACACTCAACGACCACTGTCGCTTCCCCATATGGTCATGCAGGCAAGCCCCCCTCGCACCCGCAGACAGCTACAACGCCTCACAAACTTTTACTGGCAATTCATCCCCTCCTTTGTGAGGATTGCCAAGCCCAAGGACAGACCTCCTAAAGTCAGGGAGCCCAGGAACGACACCCTGCCCAGGACAACCCCTACAGTCTACTGCCTTTTGGGCTACGAAACTACATAGCCCCAAAGGCATTAAGAGTTGTTAACCTAACCCTACGTAGCTTTTTCTCTGGTAATATCACACTACTAACTAGAGCATACAAAACATTTGCTAGACCAATACTTGAATACAGCTCATCAGTCTGGAACCCATATCATGTATCTGATATTAACACAGTTGAGAAAGTCTAGAAATATTTCA